TAATCTTCAGTTATGCGTGTAAGTGTACTTTGTACATTTACAAAGACTGTTTACCTTTTTTTTTGTAATGTTGTACCACAGGTAATACTTATTGCAAGTGTATGGTAGACTTTCCACTTTCTATAACCATTTATGTATGTAGTAAGTCACACAATCTCAATCGTTTTAAAGGAAAACTACAAGCGTTTGTAGTATGGTGCTATAGACAGATAATCGTGGATAGAAAATGTTAGAAATCAGGAGGTACCTATTAGGAGAACAGAGGGAGACATATTAACAGCGGAAACAGGAGCAATAAGGAGCATAAAAGGATTAGGATTAGACTATTGCTCGCAAACAGTAAGAGATCATCATCATCATAAGGTCGTCAGTCCTAAGTCTGGTTGGACACGTACCTCCACTCTTTCCTATCCTGAGCTAAACTTCGCATTTCCCTAAAACTAGAACAGCCCACATCATTAACTATTTGCGAACAGTAATCTAATCTAGGTCTACCTCTACCCCTCCTAACTCCTGTTTCTGCCTCTAATATGTCTCTGACTAGACCTTCATGCCTGAGAAGGTGTCCTACCAACCTATCTCGCCTATTTTTTATTGACTTCCATAGAGTCCTCTGTTCTCCTATTCTTTCCAATACCTCTTCATTTCTAACCTTTTCTACCCACGATATCCTCATCATCCGCCTATAACACCACATTTCGAACGCTTCTAACCTTTTCTTTTCCGCCGCTCCCACTGTCCATGTTTCGCACCCGTACAACGCCGTGCTCCAAACATACACCTTTAACAACCTTTTTCGAATTTCTAAATTAACCGTTCGCGAGCATAGAAGTGACTTCTTTTTATTAAAGGCGACACGACCCTGCGCTATCCTCTGCTTTATATCCCTACTACTCCTTCCATCCTCACTTATCTGACTTCCTAGGTATCTAAAATCAGCCACTTCTTCTAATTTTTCGTCTCCTATCTTTATATTCGCTCTTTCCCTACTTTTTCTTCCCTTGCATATCAGTATTTTAGTTTTACTTTTATTTATTTTCATACAGTACTGATCTGTCAGTACCGCTTCCATTTTATTTAAAGCTATCTCTAGGTCCTCCTTGCTAGATGCTAATACTGCTATATCATCTGCAAATCTAAGCATACTAATCTTTTGCCCTTGCACATCTATCCCTACAGTTGTACTGTCTCTAATGATGTAAGAGATGTAAAGAAAATATTTTTAAATTAAATAAATGCAGTTTTCGTGGAGTTGCTGTTTGCTGTGCTCCATGGAATTTTTATTTTCCAAAAGTTTCGTCATTCTTACCGCTACGACATCTTCAGTGGTGACCTGTTGAATGCTGAGCAGTGACTGATGATGCAGGAGTTCTAGTAACTAATTCAGTATTTTTATCTATATTGTTTATACTTATTTATACTTAATGTTTCGTAACACATTACGAGTTCGATTAAGTGTTGCATTTATTGCTGTTGTAATTTTTTCGAACGTTTCGCATTCTTACCAAGGCAACGTCTGTTTATCGGTGCAGTGAGCTCAAACGTAGGCGTGCTCTCTCGCTGCCTTCTGGGACATAGTTTTTTAACTTGGCGAAGGCCTTTTGCTTAATTGCATCGCTCGTTATTAGATGGTATGCATTGTTTGTTGACAGCGTAGTTTATTATTAAAGTTTCAGCGTAAGTTTCAGTAACGTTTCCGAACCAAGACTCGTTCCGAAGCAAAACAATTTGCATTCTTAAAATACATCGTTTAACTCTCTTTGAGAAGTATGCGCTCAGAACAGAACAACCGAGTACTTACGTGCACTTTGTTCAGTCTCTTTGGAGTTGTTACTTAGCATTTTTTTGTGCATATTTTTAGTTAAATAGTAAGATGTTAAGAAAGAACCTATTTTTGTACTTACTATAGCGTAATTGCCATTCCGGACAAGTGCCACTAGAAGTCGCGCTTTGAGATTATTATCGTAAGACTTAGTAAAAAGTTACCTGAATCATACAGGGTGTGATAGACTGAATAAATGGATGGAAAAGCTTTCGTAAGCCGTAAGCTTTTTCTTGGAAATGGTCTTAACTGGCCCAATGACTTACCGAAAAACTTACATGATAAAATTGGAAGGGATGTTTTAGACATTTTTTGTATAAATAAATAGTTTATGGGTATATAGCCTCTGTGAGTTTGATAGCCACTGATCGTGTAACTGTAATTAAGTTCTATTAAGTCAAAATTAGACCTTAACTATGTAGGATACTTGAAGGTGAATGTTAAGACTTACTCATCTACTATTGCTCAACTATTGGAGGCGGTAGGAATAGCTCCCGAAGAGAGAAGGGGGAATTTTTAGGACATTGTGTTAGGTCATGTCCGTCCCCCCCTCTTTAATGGGAGCTTTTTGTATCCCATCTCAATGGAGAGCTTACAGTTACTACAGTAAGTATTTGTTGCTGAACTAACAGTTGTTAAAAGCTCGTGGAAAAGCTCAAGTAGGTACTCATAGAGTTTTGGGTTGATGGAGAGTTAGAAATGATTTATATATGGACCATAAAAAGGTTAACCAAATTCGATTTTGTTTAAAAAAAAAGCCAATATAAAGAAAATATGAAGGAGTAAATAAAATTAGCTTTTTACTTATCCCACTTATGTATTAACACTATTTCTGCATATTTATGTAATTTGTATTATCAGCACGACCGAAGAAAGTGTGTTTCAAAATTTCTATGATAAGTCACGACTTATAATCATTACGTATAATGTTACTGTGTACGTTGTATTTTTGTGTTCAAAAACGAATTATTCTTTTCTAAAATATCATATGTAATTTCCTTTCGATTTTTCCGTAATTGAATTGACACCTACAAAGCAAGTAAATACTTCATGTATTAAAAATTATTGTTCTCTTATAATAGGTACATGACTGAATGCTGTTTAACTAGAGCTTGCTGTGTATTTTTTTTAAATTCTCTTTAAGTATTCAAACGAGCTACTGGAGAAAGGTAAATGCAAAAATCGTTAATTTCTAAATGTCTCATACTTTAGTATTAATTTGAGGCAATTTGATTTGCCCTTTTGCTTACAATTTTGTGTTATTAAATTAAGCGTCAGGCCGTTTAAAAAATGTCTCATTAATTAAAATTCAACGCGCGCAGATGTAAAGTCGACAGCGACTTTGTTATATCCAGCAATTGGAGCAGAATGTTTTATGGCAAACGAAGTGTTTGTATTTGCTGCTGCAAATCGCCTTTTTTCATGATCGTTAAACTTAATCACAAACAAAAGCAACATATTCTTCTTTACGCTTTGCCCGCCTAAATTGTAGTTGCTGCTTGTGCATTCTGCAGCAAGCAATAACGTAAGCACCTTAATTGCGTGTTTATAATTTAGATCAAATTATAGCCGTGGCCTTTATACGTTATCCTTCACTTTGCTTTAATATTATTGCAGTTAGCTACTCATGTTCAGTTCAAGGTAATGCAATAATAATAATAAAGGAAAAGTGGCATCCCTAATTAGCACCTATTCAACATCATCCATGTGTGTATGACAGAACCTGTTTGGAATATCCAATGATTTATATTTAAATAATGTACCTACAGGGTGTTTTAGGGTGTAGTCTCGCGGTTTGTATTAGAATCTAGCATTCGGGAGAACACTGATTCGATTCCAGGATTACCAAGTTTTTCTGTGGTATCCTTGGACCATTTGCGCACATTCTGGGGCTATCAGTATTCCAATGAATGTGTCGTATACCAATGAACTCGTAATGTACAATCATTTGGGTCAATTAGACGAATTAGTGGTTTATTTATGTTCTTTAATTAAGCGTTTAAAAGTTCTTACAGTTTGTCCTACATATTCTTCTCAATTTACTGGCTGAGATCTCGATTTTAAGTCTCAATTATTATTTTGTTTTTATGTGAGATATCTACTTTGTACTACTCATATAAATTTCAGCAAGTTTAATGTTTTTTATAGAGTAACGCTTAGATTTTATTTTCTATAGAGAGATTGAATTGAATTGTGTTCACCTACTTGATGTATGTATTTAATTAAATTGTGAAAGAAAAAGAAAATAATTTGCATGCTTACAGAACACAGTTATTAGTATAGTTACCTGCCTGTCCAAAACTAGAATAGTTAAGCTCTATTAATTCAGAATTAGAGGTTGACTATGTAGGATACTTGAAGGTGAATGTTAAGTTTTACTCATCTACTATTGCTCTTTGAACTAATTGTACACACCTACGAATACACAAATACGTATACATGTAATTGTAGATAATGATGCGAAAGATTTTGCAGCATCATTTTTGCCATGTACACGATTATATTTTTTATTTCATTTCTTTTGAAACTAAATTTGTAACCTACTAAAGAATTAAAAAAAGGAAAACTGTTCTAATTTTCTTTAGACTTTTGCGGTTGACGTTGTTGTAAGAATATTTATATTTTGGCTTGTCTGGCCATGATCGTGACGATTTATTGATATTAAATAAGTATTATGAGTGATTAATTTCTAGAATTTTATTTTACTTGGGTCAAAATTCGAAGGGTATCATAAGAAAACAAATGAACACAGGGGGGTACACTATCTTCAGCTGGGGTTTGTATTTTTATTTTTAAATAATATTGAAAGATTATTTAAAAACAGTGCTATGTTTTTGTAAGATAGTTATATTATTTCGAATTGTTATTCAGAATTAAATATTTCGAAAATACAGTTTTGGTGGATGAACCGGGCAGAATATCTAAATAATGAAATATATATTACTAATAATAACTAACTAGAAATATTTTGAAAACTTTTGCTAAATTAAATAGGCATCTAATATCTTATGATTGGACTAAAATAGTTTATAACAAAAAAATTATTAATATTGAAAACTGAGTAATTATTTATTGAAAAAACATAGTGCATATAGTTTTCGTCATTTACCTTTCTGGTGTTCCTCAATTTTTAGGGTATTTTCAAGATCTAAAAGGGAGATAACCACAAAACCTTATATCAGAAAAATAAACAATTTTATTTTTTCTTTTGTTTAAACATTAAGAACTCACAACTTAAATGGTTACAAACAACGTTACTTAATCCTAGAAACTTATCGTTACTAAGTATTGGAAATAAAACTTCTTATTCTAAAGTTAAACCGCATACGCTATTGCTGAAGTAACAAAAAAAAAATAAAAAATTGGAGTTGTTGAGATGCAGTTTCTAAGACAGTTCACCAATTGGTGCATTCTCGAGCCACAGTTCGTGAATAAAGTTGAACAGGTCCATGCTTACAGAAACTTTGTACGGTGTAGGATTTAAACTTCTTTTGATATCGGGACGAAGCGTATTCAGCGATTCTTTGACCCTGTTTTGCATTTCTTGCATGTCAGGAAGAGGCTGACAGATTTTTCCATCCTGCCAGTAAACTTTATATAGCGGCTCAACTATGTGAGGATAAACATACGCCCTCTTAGATTCCAGGAAAGCGTGTCGGCATAAGACCTGAAATGACATACAAACATTCTAGATTGTTTGCGGAAGCTTTACCGTAAAATAGGGAGAACGATACAGACATTCAGTTTTTGACATGCGAAGGACTAAGGGAAAGTTTTTTTTGTTAAATTGATCAAATTTGCATACTGAAAAGGCGGAAAATTTGACTTGAAAACATGAGGAAAGAATGAATATAAAGATAGAAGACGAAAAATTAGAAGTGGCTGATTTTCGGTATCCAGATAATGCAGGATGGAAGGAACAGTAGAGATATACAAGAAAGGATACAGCAGGGCTTAGTCGCTTGTAACAAAAAGAAGTCAAAGGTGTTGGTCTGGAGCAGGGCTCCGTACGGGTACGAAACGTGGATGGTGGTGTGACGGAAAAGAAAAGGTTAGGAACGTTCGATATGTGGTGTTACAGGCGAATGATGAGGATATTATGGAAAGAGAAAGTTATAAATGAGAAGGTCATAAAAAGAGTAGGGTGCGAAGGAAGCTAATAAAAAATATGTGAGATAGGCTGAGGTAGGACACCTTCTCAGGCATGAAGGTCTACTTAGAGACATATTAGAAACAGAAACAAGAGTAAAGAGGAGTAGAGGTAGACCTAGACTAGAGTACTGTTCACAATAAGTTAAGGATGTGAGAATTTTAGGAGTGACGACTCTATGATGATGATGATGTTTTTTTCTGTTGAATATTTTATCCTTTTGTATGTTATCAGTCAGGGTTTTCTATTGTGAAAGTTAGTTTTTCACTTACCTTTTCCTGTGGTTTTGGAGGAGGTTCATTATGTTTCAGCATTAGGTCTATCAGTGCGTATCCTTCTTTGTTGAGCAATCTGTAAACGTTTTTTTTTCCTGGAAGCGTAACCTTTTCCACGTCTTGACTCAGTTTCATCCTCGGCATTCCATTCAGCTCCACGAGCTTGTAAACTCCACCGAGAGCGGGCTGTTTCTGACAAGTGACCAAATGCGTACCGACCCCATAACAGTTTATCTCATGCCCTTGCTCGTTAATACTAAGAATAGTTTCTTCGTTTATATCGTTCGATGCTACGATCGTGAGATCTTTAAACCATGGAATGGAAAATTTTTCGCCTATTTTAGCGAAAAACTGTCGAGTCACGATTGACAAGTAAGCGAGATCGCCGCTGTCCAATCGAATACCGATTGCCCTATAGCCAATTTCGGAAAGTGCTAAAGCCACCGCGCAGAAGTTGACCAGACCGCTCTTGACGACATCGTACGTGTCGATTAGGGCCAAGAATCCACTTGGAAAAGCATGAGCATAAGAAACAAACGATGCAAGCTCGCCGTCGTTTACTTGCGATTCTATGACCTAAAAGTACACCACACTTTAATGGAACGTGACCCCCAACCCGTTACTGCAGAGATTAAATTTCAAATACGAACGGCGGAAAAAAACTAGATAGAAATGCTGCGAGAGAAAATTGGGAAAATCAAAATGTAAAAGAAAATCCCATGTGAATTAAACCGGAAAGAAATGATACTTACACCTTAATTAGGTTCGTAAAACAAATTAAACCTGATAAAGTAGATTCAAAAAGTTTTTTTTTCGATATTTGACCTATATGCGAGAAGCATTTGTTTTTGATTTTTGATGGAGGGGATACCCCATAAATTATATGACCCTATTTTAGTTATTTTTTGACCCACCCCTTATTCCTCCATGATCTGCCATTATTTTATCCTGCCAACTAACCATATGACTTTATTTTAGTCATTTTTTGATCCACCCTTCCTTCTCCATAGTCTATCATTATTTTGCCCTGCCCATAAACCATATGATCTTATTTTGACAATTTTTGGGTCCATCCCTTCCTCCTGCATGGCGCCTATTATTATTGTAACCTGCCCACAAACCATATGATCCTACTTTAACCACTTTTTGACCCATCCCTTTCTCCTCCACGGTTACCATTGTTTTATCCAGACCATAAACCATATGACCCTATTTTACCAACGTTTGGACACATACCGCTTTCCTCCATGGTCTACCATTATTTCGTTATACTATCTAACCAATACTAAAGCTTCACCTTACTCTTTTTTAATTAAAATTAGGCGCCAAAAGTGCAAAAGTTGCATTTTCTTTAAAAACTACATTGGTCAGTGATCCCCCGCCTATAGTTCAAAGTAGACCGTAAGGAACTACACACCTCGATCTACTTTTATTTAAAAAATCAAATGCGTCAAATTACGATAATGGGAATTCTATATGACGATTAGTTAAAACATAAATGTTAAAAATTATGGAGTCGGAAGTTCAAACCTTAAAAACTGGCACGAGTTTTTTTCTCCATGTCAACGCAGAATCCAACAGATTAATCTCCTGGTTACCATTTTGAGATTTAATCATTTTCGGCTCGAGTTCGGCAAATCCCGAGAACGACGTGACGAACGCGTGAGCATGCGTCCCCCTCACAGGAATATTGAACAATTTTCCCGCTAAAACGTTACTGGTGCCATCGAATCCTCCAATGTACGAATACTTGGACGCCGATAATCCTCCGTCAGGTCCTTGGGCGCGTCTCAATCCGAATTCTAACAGGCTCACGTCCTGTCCGGCGGCCAATCTAAATCTGGCTGCGTTTGTGGTAATCAGACTCGCGTAATTGACCAAAGTCAAAAGGGTTGTTTCTAACATTTGCGTTATGACCAAGGGACCTTCCACTCGAAGTAGGGGAACCCTCGGGAAAGCCACCGTTCCTTCGTCCATTGCGTAAAGAGTTACGTGATCGAGCCTTATGTTTCGCAAAAACTCAAAGAATTCGTCTTCGGTCCCTTTCGGTAGAGTTTGTTTCAAATACGCAATGTCGCTGTCAGAAAAGTGAAAGCGCTGCAAAAATTTAAGGCATTCCTCCAGTCCGGCGAAAACGGTGAATTCCCCGCCGAAAGGATTTCGCCGGAAGAAAAGATCGAAGACTGCGTAGTCGTCAATTTTCCCCGATTTCCAGTACGCATAGGCCATCGTAATTTCGTACAAATCGGTCAGAAGGGGTTGAATTATGCTGTTGTACGTTGGTTCAGGTTGTTGGGCCATTATTTTGTAATTTCTACGTCAATATCGTATTCTCTTTCTCTCTCTGTATTCACGTCTTCGTTGTTCACTGTCTCGCGCCAGTCATGCGGTGATTTACATATCAAACAGCACGAGAACAAAACGAGGAACTCACAATTTACGTCAATATGAAACTAACGCGTCATGCGCACACTTTTGTTTTTGACTTTTTGAAATGCTCGCTGACTAATTTTCGAAAGACAAATTATTTATATTTAAAAACAAGAGCGTTAACGTTTCGCAATATTATTTAGAGTATGGTAGAATCTTTTATAAGAGCACGATCTTTATTCGATGAACGCGCGATCTGCTTTGCTGGCTCGAACTGAATACTGAAGCACGAGCCATACCAACCGATGGCGCAGTGTGTTCTACTTTTATCGTTTGATTCAAAAGAGCCGCTATAATTTAATATGGTTAGATATCAAAGTAGCGCTTTTGATATAAATTGGGGTGGAACTAATCGTATTTAGCTAACAATTTACGTACGTATTTATGTATGTAGTAAAGGGTTTAGACTGATAGTGACCTTTTTTGGGCTAGTTCAAAATGGGACAGATCATTACCATATTACAAGTACTAAAGGGATTACATTGATAGTGACGTTTTCTGACCCAGTCTGGACTTGAAACTTATTGGGCTAATTTAAAATGGAACGGATCATATACTCTATAAGTAGTAAAGAGACTGCATTGATAGTGAGGTTTTTTGGCTAATTCTGGATTCGAATATTTTTGGGCTAATTCAAAATTCATTAATACTCTGCAATGTAAAGTGGTATGGGTGGTTAAGATCCTTCCTACAAGTTGTAAGAGAATTAGATTGATAGTGATGTTTTTTGGCCTATTTTGGAATTAAAACTTTTTGGGCTAATTCAAAATATTACCGATTATTAAGAATCTACAAGTAGTATGGGGATTAGATTGATGGTGATGTTTTTTGGATCATTTAGGACTTGAAACTTTTTGGAGTAATTCATAATGGGACGGATCATTAAGACTCTGCAAGTATTACAGGAATTGGACTGATCGCAACCTGTTTTAGTCCATCCTGGACATGAAAATTTTTTTGGCTAATGTAAAATGGCATGGACGGTTAAGACCCTACAAGTAGTAAGGGAATTAGATTGATCGGTGGTAATGTTTTTTGGCTCATTTTGGAATTGAAACTTTTTTGGTTAATTCAAAATATCACGGATTATTAAGGCTCTACAAGTAGTATAGGGATTAGATTGAAAGTGAAGACTCTAGAAGTAGTAAAGGAATTGTACTGATAGTGATGCTTTTTGGTCCACTATGGATTTGAAAGTTTTTGGGCTAATTCAAAACGGGACAGATTATTAAGGCTCTGTAAGTATAGTAAGGGGATTAGATTGATAGTGACGGTTTTTGGGTCAATTTTGAGATCAAAAAATTTTGGACTAATTCAAAATGGGACTAATCATTAAGACTACAAGTAATAGAGGAGTTAGAGTGATAGTTACATGAAACTGGACATGAAACTTTTTAGACTAATTTAAAATATGCAATTACTTCCCCTGAGACTCTTTTCGTATAATAAGTCTTCGAAACATAGGTCTGAATGCTTTTTTTTGACGACGACAGTTTTTTGAATTTATTCATAACGAGAATCAAATTTTTGGTTATTCTGTTTGCCCGTAACCTAGGGAATTCAACCCCATTCTCAATTTTCCGATTTCAAAAAGTTTCAAGTTTCAAAAAACATTAAATACCGTAGTTTTCTGTCAGGATTCCCCAAAAGTTAAAAAACTACATATATTTTGTATTATTACAATGGATTAGTAATTGCAGAGCTTTCCTTTTATCAAATATTAGTTTTCACGTACTTTGTTTATGTTTAATGAATCAAATAAATAAGAGCCATAGATTCTTGTCCTTGATTCTAAAAGATTGTTAACATTTCTTTCCAGCGTTCATTCACTTTCATTAATTGTAAGTGCGAAAAAACGGTTACACCAATTAATTTGTAATTATCCGAGTGTTACAGAAGACCGTTTTTTCACATGGGTTTTGCAATGACTTTTATGAATAATTGTTCTCAGTAACTTCTATCAGTCTTTACTAATTACAAATAAAAACAAACTAAGAAACCTGATTAATTGTAATGATTTTTAATGAAGGTCCAGTAATATTTTATTAAAAAATACAAGAAATAGATAACGAATTCTGATCTAATTTTCAATTCTTAAAGTGAAGAGCTTACACATTGAGATGATAGTCTGTTTGAACTGCGTACTTTTTAAAATTAACATAAATCGTCATTCAATAGTCAAATTATTTAAATGTTGGTGCCAGTAAACACAATTCCTCGTAATAAATAAAGGACACGCTTAACCTTAGCCTTCCTTGCCTGAAAAGAATACATAAAATAAAGGTAACACTTTATGAAGTGAGGCAATATCATGAAATATTATCAATTTAACAATGAACTTGTGTGTTTCCACATTGTAAATAAATTATTTCGAGCTGGAAGATCTGGTGTGTACCACCCATTAAATATTTTAGACTTAATCTTACTAAAGGCCTTGAGAAACTCGAATAACGTTTGTCTTCCACTCCTAAATGTCATCGGTTTTCATAAATTTCTTTTAATGTTATTTATAGAAATTTATTTGCATATGTGACATTACGTAACAGTTTACTAAGCATTTTTTCCTACAATAAATTATTTTTTTAATGTAAAGAATCACAACAGATTTATGGTTTTGCTTTTACATTAACACATGTACATTAAAATTATAGTTATTACTATTGCAAGACTGTTATATTTTTGGCCAGTTTTTACATAAAATAATTGATTTAAATTTAAATAAATGTAAAATATAATTAACGACTTTACACATAGATCATCATCATTGTAAGGTCGTCAGTTCTAAGACTGGTTGGACACGCACCTCATCCACTTTTTCTTATCCTGAGCTAATCTTCGCATTATACAGATATTATAAATTTATTTTTAAAGAAAGGCCAAAATAAATAATTTATATATGAACACAAAAGAACTAGAACTAAAAGTTATTGATGTACTATTTGTAGTATGGAAAGTGATATTGTGCCGTCCGTATTTTTAATTAACAAAGCAATTATGTCTAGACTTTCTTTCGACAGTTGCTATCTTGTTATCAAACCCATTTTACTATAAATTTAAGTGGCTGATAATTATGGCAAGGAGAAATTTCTTAAGTTAACACTTATCGAAGAGCGGTTTTCTTTGATGAAACATTATTAATACTTTAACAATAGGCATTAACAAGGCACATACTACAAAA